CCACACGCCCACGGCTGATGGTGACCAGGGGCACCCCGTGGCACCGCATGTTCTCGTACAGGTTGATGTCCCCGCCCTGCACCTGGGTGCTGGCAGAGATGGTCCTGGGCAGGGGGACGGGGCGGTCAGTGGGTGCTGGGGGCACGGGGAGCCCTTCCCCGGGCCCTGCCGTGGGCTGAACCTACTTGGTGGCCTCGGGGTCCCAGACCACGACGTCAGCGTCGGCCCCGGGGATGATCCGGCCCTTGCGGGGGTACAGGTTGTGGATCTTGGCAGCGTTGGAGCTGGTCACAGCCACAAAGCGGTTCTCATCCATCTTACCCCCCACCTGCCACCAGAGCGGGGGTGAGGATGTGCTGGGCGCTCCCTGTCACCCCCAAGTGCCCCAAAAATCCCAGGTGTGCTGCGGGGTCAGGATCCTTGCCGGGACCCACCGAGGTGCTCTGGGGAGCTCCTTGCCCCCCGCCCTCACGCCAGGGGGTGAACACCCCACGGGATGTCCCGCTCCAACAAGGCCCCTGTGAGCCCCGCGCCCAGGCCGGCGGTGCCGTACCACACCACGCTCCCAGATGATGTTCATGCGGTCCTGCACCCCGCTGACACCGTGGGGGATCTTGGTGAAGTCCTCCTTGCCCATGGCCTTCTGCTTGGTGCTGAAGGGCCGGTGGTCCGAGGCCACGATGTTCAACGTGTCACTGCGGGGGACAGAGCAGGGTGGGGATGGCACTGCCGGGGCTGCTTGGGGTGCCCAGGGAGTCCAGAACTCAGGGAATGGGGTACCCCTGCCGTGGGGTGCCTGGAGAACAGGGTGCCCAGGGAAAGGAGCACCCATGCAGGGAATGGGTGAGTGAAGCACCCATAGCCCAGGTGCTCAGCGAGCTGTTGGGAAGTGCAGCAGCCACAGAACGTGTCCCTGGGGGTGCACAGTGTCCAGAGCGCCCAATGCCACCATGTGGGGTGCCCAGAGGATGAGGTGCCTCGAGGCCACAGCACCAGGGGAGCAGAGTGCTTGGGGCAATGGCACAGCTGGACAGCCTGGCACCCAGGGTGGGACACCTGGCACCCAGGGTGGGACACCTGGCTGTGCCAGACACAAGGATGCCCAGATGGCCCTGGCAAGTGCAGCTGGCAGGAAGGGGGTGCCCGGGGCAGGGAGGGGGTGCCCAGGGCAGGAAGGGGGTGCCCGGAGCAGGGAGGGGGTGCCTGGGGCAG